TACTTCTGATACACGCGTCTTGCGTTTTGTTCTCCATGTTGTCTGCCGTTGGTGACCCCCTTTACATTATCTCGTAAATTACAACTTTTGTCTAGCCTACATTTCTCTGTTGAGTTGTAGCTCATATATATAAACGTCGCTGTGCGTATATACAGATAGCCGACAATTATACCGAGTTGCATGCTCCCAACATGTCCTTAATATACGTTAAAAATCCACTTACGAACACACTAAACATTTTACATTAATTCACACCTCGAACTGTAATCTAGCCAAGACTTTAACGTCAACGTCTAAGTTTGTGACCCAAAGCACACCATGACATTCACAAGTGGTTGACTTTTGTTCATTTCTTGTATGCGGCAATCGACACCACCTTAATTTGATCTCAAAAGCGTTCCACACAATTGTGGATTATTATTTTAGGCCGAATTTGAGAGTCAGTTTAAATGTCATACCACAGGTCACATAGCAGCGCCGGTCTCGCACACTATCGTGTTGAACGATTAAATTACTGCCATATAGACATAGTTGTCTTTGTATTTTATAAGTATATACGTATTAAGCTGTACTGTGTTTAATGTATATTTAACGGCAGTGTAAACATTCCTGTCAAAGTCGCACTGAAACCTGACCGTGTGCGATGTTATGTTCACTCGCAACTTCGACTGTGTGAATATAAACTACGCTGGAATAGCGATGTAGTACGCTTCCCTCAATGACAGAGGAGCTGTTCAGTTGAGTCGTACGCTGTCACGTTAGTCGAACACTGAAGCTATATATGGTTGTCATTGTGGAGAAATCGCCAAGCGTGATATTGCCAAAACAATAGTTACTTAGCAACAAGATACACATATCGGCTCACTTGAGTCATGTGTTTCTATTTTCTGAACCTCCATTCTGTCAAAACGATTAGATTAATTAATATCAGTTCTAATTTACAGTCGGACATGCAGTCTTGAAATGTGACGGGTCGAGCTGTTCAAGGACGCGAACGTTGTTTAGCAGCTGATCTACCCAGTGACACAGTGGCGGATCCAGCAAAATGTAATGGGGGTCCAAGCTTCGCTTAAGAAATACGGAGCGTAAATCGCAGAAAAGCTATGCGTAATCCAGATGATATGAATCGTCATGCGTTTGGGGGCAGGCCCCCCTGGATCCGCCACTGCAGTGACACACAATAATAACAACAGTATTGTCAATAAAGACATCGGTGCTATACTTGTAATGGGTATTCTTTACATATCCACATTCAATACCGCTAGGTAACTCGGGAATTGTATATACTCGTCGCTACGGGTCGATTATTATATATGTTGAGCGAAGACTAGGTTAAACTATCAAGACTATTACTTACTGGTTTGTGTATTATTGTTGATGATTATAGCCTAACTAACTAGCAGAGAAAAATTCACATGGGCGAATACACGCGTGGTAATGCTAGAGCGCCCTCATTTTTTCAAGTTGTTATGCGTTTGTCTTGGGATTCTCAATGAAAATCTAGTACCCAAAGGACCATACTTACCCAAACACTTATGGCTACTGGTATATGATGGCAAGTTTTTTTCAGTAACTATG